TAATTAGTTATAATGAAATGGAAAAAATGGAGCATAACTTGAAAATTTTCATCTTAGAAAAAATGTCTCTTTTTACTATTTTGCAGTAAGACAAACATACTGATTGTTCGTCTTCCTGAGTGTTCAGAATGGTGCTGACAATAAAAATCTCTACAATGACTACTGCAATTATATTTAAAAAAAGGTAGAACGCAGAAGTAACGAACAGAAAGATGCGTGCTAAAGGAATTCCAAAGAATCAACAAACCCACGCATTAGTTATTACTTCATAAACATCGTGCCAAGTTAATAATGATAATACACTTCATAGATATTTAAAAGTACTTTTTACTATATATTAATGTAGTTACAACTCACGTGAGACTTATGACAGAAGAGCTATGAGTGGTGGATTTAGCAGGTATGAAAAGCGTAATGGTCAACAATAAAAAGAGGAACTGTAAAAGATAGGAGATAAAAAGTTTATCAACGGCATTTCTGCACCTCTTATCAGCATAACACTGAGTGCGCCACGCACTGAGATGTTGAGCACATTTCACACATCGAAGCTGTGATTTTGTCTGTGTGTTTTGATAAATTTGACACTGACAATTTCGGACAGTAAACTCGTAAGCTCCCATATTCGTTTGACTCTGCTTCGGAAGTGAGTTCAATACTTTTACACCAAATACAATGAGTAGCTCTCGCAAAAGAACAGCATTGCTTTGAAAACCGATAATACTTATCAGGGAGATGGGAGATAACGTTAGTAATAAGATTTTCTGAAGGTAATAAACAAGGATTGCTATCGCACGTGTTTTCGAAAAGAAAACTATTAAACAGAAAAAAAAGAATTAGCAAAAAAAAACCTCTGCTTTTCTTTTCTCAGCTTTACGTTCCACCGTTTCAGTTGCTGGCGACTCAGTGGACACTGAACTGGTTGCCTTCTCTGACACAATATCATCTGTGGAGGCACGCTCAGCCTCTTTGCGTTTGCGATATTTCATATGCCATTCCAAAAGACTGTCGAAGCGTTCCTTCTCAAAATCTAGCGCGGCTTGGTTGGCTAGTTCCGTCCTGTAAATGATTTTCAACAATCACTAACAACGTCATACGCTTCCCAACATGATGACATGTGACGTACGTGAAAAAGACGAAATCTTTGCCAGCAGTTTCTGATGGAGATGTTGCTTCTTGGGAGGA